ATAATATGTGCAAAAGTACAGAATTATGCATGCTGGTTTCTGAGAAGGGTAAAATAGTAATTCCAGTTTGGAAATAATGTGCATTAGTTTAGCTAGCTTAACAACTAAACCATGTTTTCATTTTTTCACAATCGGATAGCATTAAGTTGCGGATATGTTACAGTATAAAACTACTTTAAAATGTAATTACAATGAATAGAATCGCTGCCACTTATGTTGCTTCCTGAATTTAACATGAATCACTTTGCTTCTGGTAAGACACGATACCGTCAAAAAAAAAATAAACAAACTTGGTGACAGTATGGGTAGCTAACTGTTTGTAAACACAGTCCAGAGCAATGACTTGAGTAGCGAATATGCTAACGCTAGTCCCATCAGAAAACGGTTTAGCAGAAATATTTCTAAAAATCTACACATAAAAAATGTATTTGTTTTATTATAACTTTTAATTGCAAAACACACGATAAAGCTAAAACGGCTATCGGGCTTGCTCTTTTCAAGCCTCGTCCACTAGCTAAGCTACCTCTAAGCGCTGGCGACTCACCAACTAGCAGCTCTGCGGCAGGGCCAGGCACTGGAAAGCGGCCGTAATCTCTACGCAACTCCGGAGCTAGCTGCGGCCTTATTATGCAACGTCAATTATTCACACTTTTCTGCGATACATTTTTGTTTAACAACTGTGCAAAGCGCAAAAATATAGATAAGGTTCAGAAGTTAGCATTAGACCAAGAATTTAGAAGCTGAAGTGCCCAAAAGGTTAAAAATAACAAAAAAATGAAAGCGCCTTTAACTGCCTCAACGCCATTTCAAAGCGGATAACGTCAAACCGTTGTTCGTCGTTGTCCGCGGATGGTGGAACAATAAAGTTGTGAACACTACAATGATTTTGATTTTGACAAAAAAAAAAAAAAAAAAAAAACCGCTACCACGGTAACAAAATGATATGTGATTAGTTTTATTTGACTCCAGTATTTTGTATTATTTAGTCTTATTTGTCTAATTAATACGATTAAATAATGCTTATTTAAGCTGTTATTATATTTTAATGACTACCGATTCCTAATGAAAATGTGAATTGATTTTTTTAAACTACACAGTTACAAACTTTTTAGAGGTCAAAAATAAGCTGGATCGATTAATTTAAATTTTTATTTTTTCAAAGATTTATTAGCAGCACTTTCAGTTGAGATTATTTATTTTCAACAGATAAAACAGAAAATGCAAAAAGATGTTTATTCCTGATCTTTGCAAAAATTCCACTGGGGATAGGGCGTTATGCACTAAGTTAGATTTATTGATTGGGATGATAATGAGTGATGATAAAATGTATTTACACTACAGACAATCTTAGCTCATTCGGCACTTAGAAAGTTACATAACCTTGCAAAAATATGGTTTTGGAAATTTCAGTTGGACAGCTAGACTTGGTAAATTTGATCAGTGCTCTGAGAGATGTCTATCTGTTCAAAACTTAATTCTGCTTTAAACCTTTTCAGAACTTTGTCCCTGACCTGTTTGGTCTTTAAGATGCCGTTTGTCCACTAATGCTTTAGCAAAGCTCAGAGGCCTTCACAACACATCTGGATTTATATTTTAGATTCAACACATGTGGCCTCTATTTCTAAAGTCTGGTAAGGTTAATTCAATTTCTGGATATCAAATTAAAAGGAATTGAGTGCAAATGCCTCCAACATTTTTCACTGTTTTTACTTGGGAAATAAAACATTAAAACCATAGTCTCTTTTCCCTCCACTTCAGTCACTTTGCATTGATATATCAAATACAATTCTAAGAAAATACAAAGTTTGTAGCTTAAACATAAAAAGAACTGCGTTAAAGTCCTAGGGTATCAGGTAAAGTACAGTAGTCTAATGCTAAAATTTAATTGATGTCCCCAAAATATGTACTTGAACATTTCTATGTGTTCTAATATTTTCACAATTTCTGTTAAAATGTCCAAAATTTCCTTCTGTTTTGCTAAATGAAAAGAGCTCAATTGAAAATGATTTTCAAACCTTCATCACTGATCCTAAGCTTAAACTGACACTACGGTGGGACATAAATGTCTTTGCATGGCCTCAACGACAAGTGCGTGGGTCAGAATGACATATTGTGAATCCACACGTACCTCCCTTTGAAATAAAAACATGAGGGGAAAAAAAGATTTTGCAATATTTATTTTTGATTAGTTACAAAACATAAATAAAATCAACAATCAAATTAGTTACAATTTACAGAGGCTTAATCATCAGCAACATACTTTTCTGGTATTTCTCTAGATTTGATTTTCCCACCAATATACTTTTATCAGTCATTCTTAGCCATGTTCGTTTGGGACTCCAATGATTGTTGTTGCATTACTTCGTGTATTTTAATCTACCTGGAGCACAACAGGAAAGCTGGTGTCAATTATTTTAGTACAATTCAAAGATAAGGTGAAGTGAAAAGTCAAAACTGCCAATTTTTTCTACAAATATAAGAAAACCCCCTCATCGTGCCTGACAAGGTGTTGTATACCAAGTTACGGAGGCTCCTTGAAAGCAGGGATGTTTTCTAATTGTTATTAACTTCAAGTTTATAATGATGAGCATACATAATTTCTTTTTTTTTTTACAGTTTGTACAATCCTGTTCCAAAATACAAAAATAATCTGCATCTTTCAGATAACAATTTGGTTACACTCAAAAAGACAAAGTAGGCTTCATCGTCATGACCCAAAAAATGTTGTTAGACACACGTTAGTATCAGACATCACAGCACAGTATCTCACCTTCACTAGCAGTGCTCTACATCTTTGTAAAAATGTAGGAATTCTCGAAAAGCTAAAAATACAAGAAACCTTTGAGCTTATACTCTACAGCATGTAGTTTCTCAACCACACCCTTTAGTATGAACGACTCCTCCGTCAACCATTTGTTATTTATATCGGATTGACTTTGTGCAATCTCATGTCTTCGAAACCTTACAGTCTCTCTTTAACCAATAAAACTGAATTCTGCTTTGACTACAGAGTGAGCTAATAAACAGATGTCCATCAATTTTAAAAACATGCCTATGGATAAATGTATCATTAAATCAACAAACTGGTAATACATCAAATGTTGATTGCAGTTGTTGTACACTTGAAATGGGTTTAAGAAAATAGGGTCCTGCAGGTTTAACTTGTTTAAGCTCCACATTTTCACTTCTGATTGACTCGAAGATCAGGACCAAAGAACAAATAGTTCACGGCTAAAATGATCAATGGCAAACAAAATGCAGCGCCTTCAAAAAGTACTCATACTCACTCACATTTTCTCACATTTACAACCACAAAATTCAGTGAAGTGCGCATGCACTTCTTGTGATAGAGCAAGCAGTGTGCAGCTGTGAAGTGGAAGGAAAATAAGAATATTTAGAATATTTTTAAAATAAAAAATCTGAAGTGTGGCATGAATTTGCATAGAGCCCATTTTACTCTAAATAAATTCCAGCGCAACTTCTTGCTTTCAGATGTGACCTAATTAAAATCCACCTGTGTGTAACTTAATCTCAGTATAAATCCACTTATTCTCTGAAAGTCTCAGAGAATAAGTGGACATTAGAGGAGATTCGTGATCAAACAGCTTCATGAAGACCAAAAATAACAGCAGATAGGTCAGAGATGATATGGGGGAGTCGTTTAAAAAAACAGGGTTAGGTTTTAAAATATTGCAAACAGTCCACCATTAGTCATGCACTTCACTAATGTGTATATTAAGGGAAAGAGGCAAGATTGGTAAATTGTTGAAAGAAAGTACGAGAGTAAAACTGAACTTGTGTTTAAAATGTGTGATAAATTTATAACACTCTGATCGCGGAATGCTGAATATGAAAATGGTGGCAACAAGCGGTAGGGAAGCTTTTCATCAGCATTGAAAGGAAAGCTGGTCAGAGTTGATGGGAAAATTAAAAGACGTTAAATACGGAAGCCGCCATCTATGCATGTTCACCTTCACAACAATCCGAAACATGCAACCAGAGCTAAAACAGTTTAGATCAGACAATGGAAAACTTGTTCCGACAAAGTATTAGCTTAGGTGGATGAATTCATGTGAATACTCCACTATTTTGTAGAAAAAATGTTTGAAAAACAAACTTCCTTCCACTTCACAATCATTCACTCCTTTCTAAATAAAAAAATCTAAATAAAACGCAGTGAAGTTTGTGGGTGTTTGTGTGCAAAAATATTCAAGGGGTATTAGCACTTTTATGTGGCTTTGCAATAACTCAATGTGTGAAGTATTCTCAACCATATTTAACATCAAACTTACAACCATTAAGACCTAGTAGCTTTTATTACTTTCTGTCGTCTGAGGAGGCAAGCCTAGGACACAGGCGGAGTAAACATTTCCACACAGTGAGTGAGCACAGTGACATCTGAGAAGCTGCTTTCAATGAAAGAAAAAGAGATGCAATTCATTTTACAAAACACAACGCGACTCTCACTCAGTCTTTAAAAGAAAGATTTGTTTCTTTTAAACAAACAGTCATGCACCCACGACAACACAGTCATCAAAAGTAACACTGAAATAACTAATTCAGCATGGTTTCCCTAGTTTGTGTGACCTTGACCTTTTCTTTTTTTTTTTCTCTCTTTAGCATGATCCCCGCTTAACTTGATATGAAGAAATCAGATTGTATCTACGACGCTATGTTTACCTTTTTAGTCTCCAAACTACACAGCGATTGTGTGTGTGTGTGTGTGCGCGTGTGTGTGTGTGTGTGTGTACCGCAAGTGGAAGCAGCTTCCACTCAGGTAAAATCCCACATATCATGAGGTCATGCAGAACTGAGTGGAAAGTATTCAGGTGTTTCAATGAATCAATGTATAATATCAAACTCATATTATTACGAAGACAAATGACATGCTGTAGGAAACACGAGACTACATATGTGTTAGATTGCATCATGGGAGATGAGAGTAGGCGCACAGGTTGACCAAGCTTAATTTAAGCGTAATTTCTGTTTGATTTATCTTCATTATGTGTTGTGCTGCAAACCTAGTTTAAAAAAAACTGTATCTCTACAAAAAAAATTGTATGCTTTTTCAGACAAATTGATTAATACAATACATGCTGATCAACTCAGATGACCATTACTAATTGCACTTTTAAATGTGATCGTTCTTTCACTGTGAGCGTTGGCTAACTGAGCCAAAAACCAGAACCATACTGGAATACATGTATTCACTTCACTCACAGGTTACCCACACATATAACACTTAATTATCACTCTAAAATGAATCTGATTTATGTTTCGAATCCCTGGGGTATCACCATCTCTTGGAGCTTCACATTTATTTCTCAAATCTCTTGGTTTCATTTTTGTCCCAAAGGAAGAGTAGAAGTTGGGCTTGTTGGGTGAATTTTGGCACTGGAAGGTAGAGCAGCGGTCGAGCAAGATGAGGAACAGGTAGACGAGGGGGAGGAGCAGGAGCAAAACACACCCCCAATAACTGGGGTGCTGTCAGCGGGTACGGAGGGCCCACCTCCATGCAGCAGCGACGTGCCCGTGGACACCGGGATTTGGATTTGGGAAGGCAGCAGCGGTTGGCTTTGAGGTGTTGGTTGGGGCAGCAGGATGGTGGGCTGCACCTGTGACTGTATGGATGTTTGCATCCGAGGTTGTGGCATTTGCTGGCACATAGGAGACTGCTGATAGGTCATCTGCTGAAGAGGTGGAGGCTGATGGAGGTGTAAACTCTGATGCATCTGTGGTACTTGACCCATGTGTGATTGTGGGGGTGGAGGAGCCGGAGAGGCCAGGGTGGTCAGGGTTCCTCCACCTGCGTAAGGAGAGGAGGCTAAGGGTACCTGGGGGCTCAGTTGGGCTGCTGGAAACCAACCTGGTCGGCCCACCTGCAATTATTATATCAATGAATACTGAGAAAAATTCTTATTATTTTTGCTTCAAGTTGTCAAAAGTGTCCATATCCATTTATGTATGACACATTTTGCCACATTGCATTTTTGCAAAAGACCAACAGAAGGTAGAAAATCATAAAAGTTGATTGGAACAAAAGGTGTGTCAACAGAGTATTCAGAAAACCGTGTATTAGTTTTCTTCCACATTAGACTTGTGTATTACATTGTACTAATTCTTTAAAAAACACCCCGATAAAATATACCAGAGTTTGTTCTGACAATATGACAAAATGTGAGAAAGTCCACACATTAAACTTCTGTTGCAACTGTAAACAGATAACAAATAACATTCTAAAACAAAATCATATTCCATATTGATCAAATCTATTCACATAATAATATGAAGCAAAAACCTATCTATGTATTTCTTTGTGTTTAGTCATACCTCTGCAGACTGGCTCCAGCCTCCCTGTACCTGCTGGATCTGTTTGATTTGATTCAGAGATGGCTTGATTGGAGCAGGACCTACTGCCTCCTTTGTCCAATTGTCAACAAGCTTGTGCAGTTCATCAGTGAATGTGCTTTTCCTTGATGGGCTGTGATCTGTGGAAAGATGAAATGATTAATGGCATCTTCTACCTACATGTTGGGTTGCTTTACATTTCTACACTATGTATTTTTTAAGTTTCATGCATGGATTACATGAAAGGACAAACTGAGTGATGGATGACAGAGCACTGAAAAGCGACAGGGAGGTACATCTTTTAAACAGGGAAAATAAATAAAATCTAGACTAACACAAATTATTACAAAGTTTATTTCTTTTTTCCATTCATAATCAAATCAACATTTTTTTCCCCAGACTCATTAGAAAGTCTAGATAAATCACTAAAATTTGAACCTGCCTTTTCTATCAGGCACTGCAGAGCGGAGTCTACCCTGTTCGCCAACCGAAAAACTACTTGACTGCTGAATCCCTGGAAGAGACATAGGAGCAGTTAGACACGTTCAGGCAACAATGTACTGTTAAAAACATGGGGAAAATGTGCCTCACAGTCGCCTAACCAGAGTGTGGAACTCCATTGTTGTCCATGTGAGAGTGGGGCCGGGAGCGAAGCTTAGCTTTGGCCATCCGGGACCTGCGTGGAGAAACGACAGGCAGTGCAGCAGGAAGAGGAGGAGTTCGGCACAGAGAGGCAGGTAAACTTTGTCTTTGGTCTTTGAGAGAACGAAGCTGTCTGTAGAGCTCTTGAAGTTCTCTGTTCTGCTGGGCTTGAAGGGAAACAACCTCTCTGATGTGCCTACAAAAACAGGTGAAGACATTAAGACAAAAACATGTTCATCTATTTGATACTGAGTAAAAATAAAATGGTAATAAAAAAAATTAGCAGGTTGATCTGTTATTGGTTTACTTTTCTCTGAGCTTCTGAAGTTCTCTTCTAAGCCCTTCATCTTCCATCTCACTCTCATCATCATCATCAGTGCTGCTAAGTGGAGAGTGGCTGTGGCCAAAACCGCGAGAAGGGTGGCCCTTCGATGGGGTGATCTTGCAGTCTTCTTTATCCCATTCTTTTGCATGAGTTTTCCTCCTATCTCGTCCCAAATCAGGAGACACTGGTGAGCTGTCAGTCTGTCTGTCTTCTTTCTTCGTCACGGTCCGCGTCACAGAGAAACGTCCCACTTTTCTATGAGTGCTACTCTGACCCGAAGACAGATCCTTTGGAGGGGAGGTCTGGGGAACTGGATTCACCTAATAACCAAAATAGATATCAGTTCAGAGTAAGAAAACCGTAGAAGCTAAAGTCAGGATGCACGACTCCTACCTGAAATCGGCCTTTGCACAGCTGAGGGGAGCTTAATGGTGTCTCCTTCTTGTCATCTTCAGGTGCCTCACTGCACAAATATCCCTCTGATAAAAAAATAAAAAAATGGGGAAAATAAAAACAAAAAAGGACAGGCAGACACAAAGACAAGGACACAGAATCACAAATCAAAAGTGATGAATACAACAAATCGATGTAAAATAAACAAAATGACACACACACACACAGATGAGAAACATGAACAAAGTTGAATTATCAACTTGCCAACATTGTAGATTTTCATCTTGTAAAGTCAGTATGTGTTGTGTATTGTATTTAAGAAGCTATGAACATTAACCTGAAAAACAAAATGCAGCTTTTGTAGACATTTAAGAAAACTGCTGCTAATGTGAAATGCTGTGTACCCAACAAGCCCTCAGTTTCATATCTGTTCTCTCTTTATAATCACAAAAAGTGCAACATCCCATTTAAGATCTGGGCTCAGATAAAGAGTGCCTTGCAAAAGTATTCTGACTTTTTCAGATTCTGTCACAGAACAAAAACAAAAACAAAACTTCCATTTATTTTATTGCCATTTACTCTGATAAATGAACACAAATAAGTGAATAAAATTGTGAAATTGAAGTAATATGACAAGTTTAAAAAAAAAAACTTTTTACAAATAAATATAAAAAATGTCTACCAGCTTTGCACATTTAGAGACAAAAATGTTCCTGCCAATTTGGCAGTTTGATTAGCTGTTCCCATCAACTCTGATAGGGTCTGTCAACAAAAAACTTTCCCACAGAATGATGCTGCCACCATTTTTTTAAAACAATGGGCTTCTTCTTCTTGTGTTAGTCTATTCCAATAAAATACAAAGAAGATTGTAAAAAAGTATTAATATTTTTGCCAGGCACTGTATATAGTAAATGTGTTGGGTACTTAAGTTAGCATTACAGCAAAGTGTAGACATGGATAACAATCACAGTATTTAAATTAAACATTAAAAGAGTTACAAACACAAACAAGCAAAAAAAAGAAAAAAAAAAAAAAAAAAATTAATTAAAAATAAATTAAACAAAATGCTGAAGTTTGTTACAAGTGTTACTTACAGATAACGGTCCATTATTAGTCACTGGTGTGGAACATAACAAAGGTGCTCATGCATGTGCTCTTGTAGGAGAGGTTCTAAGCTACTACTAAACAAGTAACATATAAAAACAGAAACATGCAAGATGGATGGAGCATGTTAACAAAATGATGGAGCTTTGATATATGGAAACCCTACCATTACAATCCCTGCAGTAACTGTGAGGCCTACACATTCTATGTATAACCCTGTTTCCATAAATAGATACTGCGTAAAATGTAAATTAAAACAAAATGCACAACTCTTAAAATCAGGAAGCCCTGTAATTTATCATATTATTGTTTTTTTAAATGATTAAAAAAAAAAAAAAAAAGCTGATTCTGGAAAATATCAGTGTTCACATTTACTTGCTCCACTGTTCTGGGTCCTGGTTTCTTCATATCTCAGAATGACATTAATTTAGTGTAAGATAAGTCTGGATGCTGGTAGGTCAGTTTAGGATCATTTCGTCTGTACTACACAGCTAAGCTAATATAATTAGTCTATAGAACGCTTAGATATGTATTGATTAAATTAAGCTACTGAAACATTTGTGTTTCTCGGTTCTTCTGGAGCTCATTTTAGATTTTCTAGCATTGCTTGCATTATATTGTAGTTCTGCATAGGGGATTGTAACCATGATCAGTTTCAAACCATTTCCTGCATAAAACGTTCACTTTGGTTTACATGAAGCTTTAACTATGCAAGACACTGAAGTTGAGGCAATAACTAAAATCTGGATACTTGTCTTACAGTCTCACTTATCCCATAAAGAAAGTGCACACTGATTCTAAATAGAAGCTAATCACATATTAAGTGACTTGCAAAAGTAGTCAGACTGTTTTATTGGAATTTTGCTAAGTAGCTCATATTTGAGTGGTGAAAGAAAAAGGATGTAAGGGTTTTGTTTTAATAAGAAAAACTCATAACAAAAACTAAAAGTATTGTGTAATTTTGCTTTAGGTCCCTAAGTTAATATTTAAGATTTTATTAAGTCTGGAAGTCTGCTGGAGGATCTTTCGACCAACTTTTCTGAGTAAGGTAAGCTTAGCTGGTTCGTATCGTATCTGCGTAATGACATGATGCGCTGTCTATTCTGAGTAAGAAGGTGAGGTGGATGCTGGTGGTGCCCGGGGGCTTGGGGCAATGAAGCAGAGTGTCATTTGAAAAGACACGTCCTGGGAACAAGTCACAGCTGGGCTTAGCTCCAGAGCTCATCTGGACTTGGAGAGCATCAGATGTCTGATGTCAACCTCCTCCTAAAACCATCTCTACACTCCACTGTTCTTTCCTCAGAGTGCCTCATGCAAAAAGAAAGATTTTTAAGAAAATGAAATATAGAGTGAAAAGAATCGGAACATAAAAAATGCAAACAATAAAGTATGTAGTGATGTCAACACTGAGATTACATGGGAAATATATATATATATATATATATATATAAACATGTTACCATAAATTTTTATTAATTCTTTAAGGTTAAGAATTTTTTAGTTTTGCTAAGTTAAAATTAGTACTAGACGTTAGATCTAGTTCCATGCCCCAACACCCCATTCTCCCTTTGTCGTGCTCTCTCGCTCCCTAAAAGGACGCTACCTTGTGGGACTCTGGGCTTCTTGAACAAGCTGGCGGAGTGGCGCAGTTTGCATGCCCAGTTTTTGAATTTTCGAGTCCAGGATTTCTTGCTAACCGGATTTCTGATACTAGGACATGTCAGGTTTAGGCCAAAATATCCACCTCCTGCATTGTGCTGCTGCTGTCCATGCTGGAGGGAGATCGGTTGCTGACTGAAAGGCCATGAAGAATCTCCGACGACACTGGTGTCAGAGTGTGGGTGTACAGCCTAGAACAGTTAGGACAATTAAGACTGGCAGCATGAATGGGAGACTTAAAAGATGGAGAGATACTTAAACATTTACAAGTAATTACAGACATTTAAAGAGGAGTTACATTTACACTGTGAATTGTAAACAGCTAATTCAAACATTATTTTCGGTATTTACTTACAGGTACAGTTGGTTCTCCTGATACAAGTAAGTGCTGGGATCCAGCAGTACCATCCTTACTGGGAGCACAGAAAGGAATGGGCTTGGTGGATGAGGCAGAGGGGACAGAGGCGATGGGTTGCTGCTCTACGGGTTCAGTCAGAACAAGGTTTCCAACTTCTGATAAAGCTTCATATTCCCCTCTACCTCTCTCAGGATCAGGAGAGGTAGAAGACGAACGGGGAGTGGTGGAGGAGGTAGTTGAGGATGGGGTGTGGGGGGAGGTGTCTGAGGAAGTGGCCGGTGGGTGAAAAGACAAACGTTGGAGTGCCTGGGGCTCAGACGATTCATCGCCTCCTGCTGACATAGAGGCAGCTGATGTAGGAATAGAGCCAGCTCCAGGTACCGTTCCCCCGCCGCTGTACTCCTGATACAATAAGTTCCTCAGCTTTTCATCCAAAGTCTTAATACGGTTATCAACGAATTCAATTTTCGGGGGACCTTCACTATCTGACTCAGCCACGGAGGACGGCTGACCAGGGGATGGTGTCATTGTTAGGGAAAGGCTGGGTAGCTGGGGTTCAGCCGAGGCGAGGTGGAGCGGAGGCAGAGAGGAATCAGATGAAGGGTGAAGCGGGGCAGAAAAGCTGCCTGTGTCCTCCGTAATGCTCGTCTCTCCTGTAGAGACCTCTGATTCAGACATCTGTAAAGAGGACTGCGTCTGACTTGCAAACTGCAGGTGCTTCTGAGATGACTCTGTGGTTTTATTCCCGTTGTGTTGCTGCTCAGAGTGTTGAAGCAGTGTCTGTGGCTGCACAGGCTCAGCAGGCACTTGGCTCAGTTGTGAAATCTGATGTTGTGGTACAGGGCTAACATTTAGCTGTGCCTGCTGTTGGAGAAACTGTTGAGTTATGGATGTGGGCAACATTTGACCTTGAGCTGCTACACCTACAAAGAGTTGGTGCTGTTGTTGCTGCAGCTGAGGTTGCAACATTTGCTTTTGCTGCATCATCTGTTGCAAGACCACCTGTTGATGCTGTGGCTCCTGCTGCTGGGGGACTATAAGTTCTGCCGGAGGTGTCAGAACTTGCTGTGGTAGCTGCTGAAACAGAGACTCCTCAATCATTTGTCCAGCATATTGCAACAGTTGCTGTTGTGGTGGCTGGGTTTGCTGTAGGGGCAATGGTTGCAGAATCTGTAGTGACTGTGCAGATGGTTGCAGCAACTCTCTTTGAATTGACTGAGGCAACACCAATGTCTCAGGAAGTTGTTGTTGAACAGTTGTATGCCTTTGCAGCAGTTGTGGTTCCTGCAGCAGTGGCTGCTCTTGCTGCAGCAAACTTTGATCTGGGTTTTCATGGCACTGCGATAGCTGTTGTTTTGGTGTTAACTGCTGTATCTGTTGTTCAAGCTGCAGTGCTAACAGCTGTGGCTGTGTTGTTGCTTGTTGCTGTGATGCAGGCTGTACCTGCAGCTGTGATTGCAGTGGCACTGTGGTGGCCATTTGGGAAAATGTCTGCTGCTCCTCAATGGGAAGCTGACTTACTGCAGCCACAGGAGTGGAATTAAAAGAGGTTGAAGACTTTTCAACTGCTGATAGCCTTGATGCATCTTCTAAACTTTGACCTAGAGTGGAGCAAACACTGGTGACTGCAGGGGTTAGGTTACCGGAAACTATGGTGTTGGTTGGGGAAGACATAAGAGCAGGAGTTGGTTTTGCTGTAGTTGAAAGAGAACTGGGAATCTGGTCAACTGAAGGGGCATTGACTGGAGCAGAGGCTTGTCCAGAGATGGTTTCAAAGGCCATAGTGTCAGCTACAGAGGCTGAGCCAGTGACAGCAGAGGCTGGAGATGAGGCAGAGGAGAGGGTGTTGTGGGGGGAAGAAACCTTTTCAGTAAAGGATTCAAGAGTCTGGGATGCATATTTGTCTAAATTAAGTGGAAAACACACAGTTAGTTTTTGTTACTCTCTCAGTCGTATTAATAAGCCACAACATTAACACCTAATTTGGTCTCACCTTCATCCTTTTGAGGAGACTGTGGGATTTTAGTCTCAGCAGTTGGTGGTGGTGTGACTGCACCCTGGCTAGACAAGGAGTCTCTGTGACGAATGGTCTGGTTGATAAAGAAGCGCCAGCGTCCCACTGGGGATGACTGGGGGACTGACTCACCTACTAAACCATAAGGATAGTTTATTAGTCGTGAAAATTATTTCTTTTCTCTCTCTCTTATTTCGTCAATTAGGAAGTAAAGAAAATAAATAAACTAAAACACTTACCAGAGGTGGAGTGAGTGCTCACTTGCAACTGGTCAGTTGATCCAGTCTGGTAGAGAAAACAGTCAAATTTGTTATCATTCATTTAACAGGCAAACAGCAGTGGCCAAATTGTTGGTTCTAGATAAACATACCTGTGTATGTGTCTGAAGAATTTCTTGGGCTTTTTTCACAATCGATTTAAGCTCCTCCACAAATTTCCCTTTCTCTAAATCTAGGACAAAGTCTTCCTCTACCTGAAAAATGCAACCAGACAGCAGTTATGAAACTGTGTAAATGAAGTTAAGTATGAGTATTGACATTATCAAAACATTAGAAGCTTTACCATGTAATCTGCAATATCTTCAGGAGCATCTCCTTCAATGTCAAATTTGAATGTCACCATTTTGTTACTATGAGTCTCTAACTGACACTCTACCAAATTGTCTCCTTTCCCAGACACCTGTGGATATTATAAAAGACAATTATTAATATACCAGTTAATCAAGAACTTTTCTCTCTTTTTTTGTCTTACTTTATGTTTATTGAATGTTTCTTTTTTTATATCAAACACATACAATACACAGAACAAAAAACAGACTGTCGACAAAGAACTTTACTCTCTTATAGACGTTTTTGTTTTATTGTCACACTTTATCGTTTCCGATCGACAAGCAAATTTTAATGTCGGACAATACTGTACAGAATTTTTTGCACAGGACATCAAATGTTACCCAAGACTTTGACTAGACCACTTTTTAAATCTTCATTTTGTTAGCTTTTAGATTTGGTCATTGGTGAACCTGGCAGTGCATCATTTTTGAAATACATAGCCTGAACATTCTCCTTCAGAATTTTATGCTCGACAGCAGAAGTCATGGTTCCATCACTTATAGCATCACTTATGGCAATTCAGTCAAGGCCTGAAGCAGCAAAGCAGCCCCAGACCACCATACTATCATGATGATCAGGGGAAGCTTAGACTATGTTTTTTCTTCTGTCAGATGAAACAGGATGAACAACTTTTTAATTTTTTCTTGTTAAGCCACAGGAAATTTCCCCAAAAAGTCTTGGGGATTGAGATGTTCTTTGTTCCTTAAGGATTAAGATGAAAGGGGCATTTTTCTCTGGAATGGTTTTTGACTTCAAGCTGTTCTATGTTAAAAAATTTATGATTATCTGAAATACTGAAATGTGACCAAGAATTGGTAAAGGTACTTAATAGTAATTAATGTCATGAACATGTTGTTTAGGTCTTTCACCTGGAGCATGCTCAGTTGAAACTGATGTGAACCTTTCTCAGGTTTCTGAGAGGAAGCCTTTTTCTGAGATTTTGACTTCTCAGATTTTCCATTTCCCAAATTGTGCTGAATGTCTTCTCCATTTACTGAAACAGACCTGTGGTTAACAGATGGGATGTTAAATATCAAGTATCAAATAATGAAGCATTTTTTTTTTATTTTCACATACATGTAAGACAAAGATAAGCCAGATTGAAAAAGAAGAAATATTAAAATGTCAATGCTGATTATAGTATTTCAAAAAAAGGGAGCATTAAAGGCTAAACATATGTTTAGCTGAAAAATTTATTTTATGAGAAAACATACCCTGTTGAAGAATGACATTCCGCACTTGCCAGGTATGGCCCATCCTGCAGAGTATTCATAGACACACAATGCATAAAAAACAAAAACAATACACACACAAATATCACCATACACCATATCATCACCATATACGTTGAAAATCAAGCAATATTTGGAGTATGAATAATATAACATTGAATTCAACCCTCCTCAAATGTATGGAAACCTCTGAAGTGTATGAACATTATTTCAAATATATAAAAAGATGTTGTTTCCACCAACTTAAAGCTGCATGAAGTTAGTGTGAAAGTTAAGGATGACACCACTTGTGTACTGGACTAAAAAAAACCTTCATATATAACTAACCATCATTACTACAAAGCAATTAATTAAAAAAAGGCAAAAAAAAATGTTCTTTAGTGATACCTTACATGAGCTTTTTTGTTCTAATGCCAGAAAAAAAAAAAAAACATCCCAAGAGAAAATCCAATTTATGACGCTGTAAATGAAACCTGAGATCAGGATGTTAGGCTAATGTTGTGCTATGGAGCAAATTCAGTTTTAAAAGCTAATTTTAGTCAACTTTAAAGGACTATGCTTAAAACCAGGTGAAATTAATAGCAGAGACCTAACATCTTTCCATAGACTCTCTCACTAACAGATTTCACTAAAACATATCGAAAGAACAATATTAAGATTAGTATATTCATGTCAGGCATTCTGCAACAAATTACATACAGCTTCCCCATAATAGTGTAATAACAAGTCTGACCTGCACCATAAAATGCTACACTTTGTTCTCCAGGAATCAGAATACGTTAGGATAAACTGAAGAGGTAAAATCAATGACTGTTTTAAATAGTCCATTTAGTAAGAAGCTTTAATCATTTGATGAGCATGTCAGTAAATTATTTCTGTTTCATATTTCATGTACCTGAGCGATGCCCAGCAGGGAAATGTCACAGTCTTGCAGCGAGGCTTGGGAGGGTTGGGGAGCATTAGAGCCAAGCAATCGTTGTGCAGAGGCAGGCTGAGGAGAGGTAGGTACAAAGCTGGCCTGCCCTAGTAAAGGTACTTGGGCCTGTTGCGAAGATGTAGAAAGCTCTGCAGCAGGGACAGGTTGTTGGGGAAGTGCAGATGGTAGTGTTGTGGAGGGACATGAAGGGCTCAGGGGCAGTTGTTGCGCATCAGACATAGCTTTAAGCAAAAGAGATTCTTCAGAATCTGGTGTCTTGTGGTCTGTCTGAGTGTGAGAGTGAGTCTGTGTTTGAACCAGTGTCTGTGTTTGAGAGTGTGTCTGGGCCTGAATGCAGGTTTGTGTATGTGTGTGGGCTGGGAGAAGCTGCTTGGCATGATGCTGCGGAGATGAAGGGCTCCCTGTCACAAAGTGACTATACAGAGGAGGAGTCTTAGTGGGTGACTGAGGCACAGAAACATTACTGGGTCCTGACTGTGCAGAGGACTGTATCAACACATGTGAAGGGCACTGAGAAGGAAGCTGACTTTTGTCATGTGCTGTCAAGGTTTGTTGTGGAAGTGATGGCTGCTGGTTGAGAGTTTGGATGGGCTGTGCTGGTAACTGAAGCGGTGCAGTAGAATTTCCTGGGGGTTGATGGACTGGAGAGAGATTTTGGTTTTGTTGCTGAGGCTGCTCAGCAGGCTGAGGCATAAATGGCTTGGAGGTGGGCTGAATGATGGGAGAGTCTGCAGGGCTTCCAATTAACGCTTGGTGGACTGCAGCAACTGGATATAGTGCTGCTTGTTCTGGAACTATTCCTTGTCCAGTTTGCACTGGAGGAGGAGCAACATGAATGCCAACAGGGTCAGCCGACTGAGCGAGACTCTCGGTTGTTGTTACAGCACTCTCAGCCGAGCCCGGAGACAGAATCATCTGCTGATACTGCATTACTGGTTGCTGATGCACCTGCTGATGTTGTGAAGCATGAGTCATATTGTGCTGCGCAGATGGTATGTCTTGGTGGGGAGGTTGTGAGACAAACTGTGGGGTCATTAGGCCAGGGTGAGAAAGCAGCTGACAAGGCGGTTGGCCTTGAGTTTCTTGCTGGAGTTTGGGCTGGACGGGACTCTTCTTTAGAGCACCTTGCTGAACGTAAGTCTCTTGCTGTACTGGACTTGGAAGAGAAGCAACTTCAGGTGGAAGTTGGGCAGTGGTTTGGTTTTGTTGGCCCATCATCTGAATATTGATGTTTGGGACTTTGCCATGTGCAGGCTGGAGCTGTAGAATAGTTGTATGTTGAGGCTGAGTCTGGATAAATGACTGAGCAGTTACCTGAGCCTGAGTAGGAGTTACAGGTCCAGGATAACTAGCCTGTAAGGGAATTTGCTGTGCCTGCAAGACTTGCGTTTGTCCTTGGATCACAGCTGTTGGGGCAGGTACACTGACCACAGTTGTAGTTTGAGAGGCTTGGGGCACAGACTGGACTAAAAACTGGGTTGGAATCTGGTTGTGGGGGTGAAATGGACTTTGTCCTTGCTGTCCTAAGAAAACAGGAGCTGTCTGGATAGGAATGGGGGTAGTCTGTATGGTCACTGGGACATGTACTTGAGAGATTACGTCAGTTTGGTCTTGTAGTCCTTCAATGGTCACAGGCACACCAACTGTTCGATGGGTTTCTGTGGAGGTGTGGTGCTGTGGCTGAGCAACAAAAGCTTGCTGCTGAATAAGTGCTAGCTGCTGCTGTTGCTCTATAGTGTCTTGCTTAGCTGACTGCTGCGCAGACTGAAGAATGGTAAGTTGGGGGTTACACATCGGTTGCATGTTAGCAGATTGTGGCACAATCTGCATCTCACTGCTGCTTTGAGGTGCAGGCAGAGGTTCTTGTTTGTCAGCTTGATGCAGATGCTGAACGATGGCAGCTTGTTGCTGCTGCTGTTTTTCTTGATTTTGATGCTTCATTTGAGCCTGCTGCTGCAAAAATTCAGCACTTTGTCTATCTGAGGGGAGATTTTGAAGTTGTTTTTCAAGCTGCTGTTGCAACAGAGCTTGCTGCTGAAGATGCTCCAGGTTTTGTTCAAGCTGTACTTGTTGCAGTTCTTGCTGTTGCAGCTGAGCTGCCTGTTGTAACTGGGACTGCTTTAAAATTAACTGCTTTTGCAAGTGTTGCTGGATTAATGCTTGTTGCTGTTCTATCTGTTGGAATATGGTTTGCTGTTGTACTTGTTCACATTTCTGCTGTGTTTGCTGAGGTTGTTGCTGCAGTGTAGTATTTTGCTGCTGTTGTCCACTTTGTTCTTGTGTTTCTGCTTCTGTTTTAGTTATTTCTTCCTGCTGCTGCCCTGTTTGCTCAAATAACTGTTGAATCTGCTGTTGTTGTGAAGGTATCTGTGGTTGTTGTTGCACTTGTGCTTGTGTAGGTTGTCCTTGATGCAGAAGACTTTGCTGTTGCTGTTCATATTTCTGATATAGAGAAGCTTGCTGCTGATCCATGATTTGTTTGTGTTGCAGTGCTTTCTGTTGCAGCTGCGTCTGGTGCTCCTGTTGTTGAAGCAGAGTCATTTGTTGCTGCTGATCCAGCGTCTGGACATACAATGGGTGTCGTTCAAGGAGCAACAGGTGTTGCTGCTGAAGTAGCTGTTGCTGCTGTTGTAAAAGAGATTGCTGTTGCTGAAGCTGTTGCTGTAGTTGTGATTGTCTGGCTGTCTGCTCGCATGTTTCTCCTGCTGGTTGCAGTTTATAAGCCTGAGGTTGTTCCCCTGGCCGAGGCACTGACACTGCTTGAGGCTCCATGCTTGTTTGTGTGGTCCTCTCTTGCTGATGAGGACTTGACTGGACATTTTGGACAGGTTGCTGTACAAAAATCTCCTGCTCTGGCTCGCGGTGATGCTTTTGGATAGTTGCAGCTGGAAGGCTATGATGCTGCTTTTCTAGAGGCAGCTGAGTTGCATTAATCTGTTGATGTTCAACTGATGTGGGTTGTTGTGGTTGCTGTTGATGGGTGGAGGTCTGGGAAACCATGTCTAGCTGTGGTGTAATAATGCACTGCTGTGGAATAACAAAACACTGTGTTTGCTGGGGAGTGGAGTGGGGAATAATGTCAGTCTGCTGCCTGGGAGAAGCGGGTAGCTGAGTGAGGAGCATAGCGGTCCCTGCAATTCCAGCGGGGTCACTGACAGACATAGGTGTGGAGAAAACACCAACGGGAGCTTGGGGAGAAACAGGAGGTATGTTTGACTGTGAGGGAGCCACGGATCCATGAGCAGTGACCGGTTGGAATGCATCTGATGGAAATGTTTGTGACTACTCAGCGATAATGAAAGAACAAGGATTTGAGTTGAATGCAGGAAAGGGTGAGGGGAGAAAGCAATACAAAAACTAGATTAGGAATAAGCTTTGACAAGGAAAATAAACAAACACACTTAACTTCAGAGAACAGTGCTTCCCACAGTATTTTATACTGGATAAGGAGCTTAGATCATAAAGTGAAATTGCACTTTGGGGAGATAAAGCATGAGTTTATAGATGCATTTTTTAATCACAAGGATGTAAATTTGCTGAATTTCTAGCATCTCACTATCTCTAATCACTGACATCCTGTGGGAAGCACTGTTTATTCTCGTAAAAGGCAGCCAATCTCAGAGTTATGATTCCATTAGGGTTGTTATGTAATATTTAATAGCTATTTGAAAAGAACCCAACTGAATGGAGCAGTGTGATCATTTTACATACATTATCAGGAATGTTAAGATTACGTCCCTTGTGAATATTGATTTTATTTATATAGATATATTGTCATCTTTTTCACCTGAAGATATTGTTGTGGTACACTCGGGGATACCTGTGGAACAACAGGACTGGGTTGAAGAAATGTCTGGCCAACAGATCCCCCTTCAGTCTTGGGAATGCACACGTTAGACATACTAACGCCCTGAACAAGAGGCAGATTTGGAACACTCCCAGTCTCGTCAGTGCAGAGTATTTGAGTTTCAGCCGATGCGCCAGTGATCTGTGTCACAAGAATATGTGTAAGGACCGATTGTTTCAGAACAGGTTTCCATCATTGTTGTTAGTAGGTTTAAATATAGACCTACAGATAGCAATGGTTGAGGAGTTATCTGGGAGTGGGAATAAGGTTCCCCCTGCAGAGAGAGTGCCAAGCTCTGTCCACTTGCATACGACTCACAGCTGGCAGACCCAACACTTTCAATTTCTGAGTAAAAAAATAAATGTTCAACAAAGCCATAAAATTCACACATTACATTTAGAAATTTGACAACAGATGCAGTGCCTTGCAGAAGTATTTATACTCTGAAGTTTTTCAACTTTTGACACTTTCATCCACAAAACTCAGTGGAAGTGAAAGGAAAAGGACATATAGTTTTCAAGGCTTTTTACAAATAAAATGGTAGAAATCAGGTATGTAGATGGATTTGGTACCTGAAATCTGCTTGCACCTCCCTTTTCTACAATCATCTTCTTACCAACTCTGTCTCAACTCTACAGCATGACGGTGCAATTTTGACGTTTCACTGTGGGAATGGAGTGTTCAGGATGATGTGAAGCATTATTTTCCTGCCACAGACAGTGTTTTTCATATTGGCTATTCATTTTGGTCTCATCTGACCAGAGAACCCCTACACGGATTTTGGGAAAATGCAACTTCTTGTGCTTTTCTGTTTTATGATAGAAGCCAAATGTTTGGAAAGTTTGATAAAAGTCAAATATTTGGAAAGTTGTCCTGTCAACAGATTCTCTCACTTGAGCTGGAGCTCTTCCAGGGTTTTCAGGGGTTTCTTGGTTTCTCCTTCAGATGGACAGACATATCCTGGTAGATTTTTAGCTGTGCCATACTCTATTTTAGATTATAGATTAAACAGCACAATGTGAGCTATTCAAACCTTGGGACATCATAGCCTAACTCTGCCTTAAAAATTTTCACAACTTTATCTCTCACAGTCTGCTGTGTTCCTGGGAACAATAACTGTTTTTTTGTTTTGGTTCCAATGTCACGAAAAGTAAAAAAAAAAAAAACTTTAAGTGTATGAATACTTTACCAATGCACTGTAGGAAGCAAGTTTTTGATCAACTCTACCTGGCAAGCTAAGGGTTGTCGCACCGAGGATATGCTGTTGCATGACATGCTGGTCAACTTCAGGCAGCTCCTCAGACTCCTGAACTACTCCTCCAGCTCCACTTTCACCACCTCCTGTTTGTCCAGCTGCCCCAACCATGAGTGAGGATGGGCATGAAGGGTAAGAAAAAACATAAGAGGTGACGGTAGAATCCCTTCTGTCATCAAAGCCTTGATGAGTAAGCTGCTGCTGCCGACGCTCTCTTGACTTTTTGATCAGATTCACTCGATCCCGGATGGATTTTCCCACCACCTTCGCATCGCTCTCATGAAAGAAGCCTGATTTCACCTTTGAAAAGTGAGAGGGGGAGACAAACAGGTAAGAAGTGGTCTTTGCAGGTAGATTTAGCCTTCAAGTAAGTGGTATTTATTTTTGGAGAACTATACAAGTTTTGTAGCATAAAGTTGTGGTTAAATTCTTTTCAGCCCATTAGATCATCACTTATAAATTGTTTACACATCTCACCATTTCCAAAGCTACTTCCTCAGCAATGTCATTCTCCAAGTCATAGGTGAACTCAATGGCCTCATTGTCCTTGTGTTTCCCCTTCAACTTCTTTGGGTCTTCCACCCAAATCCGGAGAGCCAGGCAATCCTGGGCACCGTTGTCCTCTTCTGCCAGCTCCACTCTTACTCCTGTATCCTCTGCAAAGAACGCATGATTCAGGAGGTCTCTGATAGAGAGTCTGTCAAGAAGGAAACAAAAATAGTGTGATCAACGAATGCACATAAGAGACTACGGATATCAAAACAAAAACCTCCTTGCCTCTGGCTTTTGTTCTGACGAATGCAGCCTTCAATGATTTCCTTGATTTCTGGGTCATTGACTTTATCAAAGCTGGCTGGTTTTATACCCTGAAGAAGCATGAATGTAAATAAAATGAGATTTTAACTATTTATTTTCATTTTAAAGGGTTTCTTTCATGCTTAAATGTTAGTTAACATTTTTAGAAATAAAATCTTTGTCATCAGAGTGACCAGGACAGCAAATTTCCATTAAAGGGACTTACACTTGTGACTTTGCGATAGATCTGAGCAGCATTTTGGCATTCAGAATAAGGGTATTCTGAAGTAGCCATCTCCAGCATACACATCCCAAAGGCATAGACGTCCACTGATTCATCATAGTGCTCTTCATACATCTCTGGAGCCATGAATTCTGGGGTTCCTGTTAAAGCAAGAAAGCAGCTCTAAATCAAAAACAGGCCACAAAGACAAATACCAGATACAATCAATCAGTGATCTCAAACTGAGACCACTGATTGATCTCAGTTTGTCCTGCCAGTTACTTCTCCAACACACTTGAATCAAACTGGTGAATTACCTCACCAGCATCTCAATAAGTTTTCTAGAGGCCTGATAATGAGCTTTTTATTCTACAAAGGTATTTTGAAAAAAGGACCCATCTATAAGTTGCTGGGCAGTGGCTCTTTCAGACAATAGTTGGAGATATCTGCTATAAAAGCAATAAGGCTGCATGATCCTATTTTCAAAATAAAAATATTAGTTGCAATAAATGTATCACATGCCATTATAGTCCTGTAGCATCTTAATCTGACGTTACCACATTACCTGTCAGTAGTCATAATGTTATGCCTGGTCAGCTTATATATCTTACCTATGACACTTTTTGCAAAGGAGGTCCTCATAAGAGTAGCCAGTCCCAGGTCACCTATCTTAACTGACCCCGTGGGGCCTGTTATGAAAATGTTGTCACACTTGAGGTCCCGGTGCACAATCGGTGGAGTCCTGGTGTGGAGGAAGTGAAGGCCCTTCAGGATTTGTCTGCACCAACTTCTCAGGACTTTGGGTTTCATCACCTTGAAGCGCTTAAGGTAGCTGCGCACAAAGAATGCATGCTGTCACCCAAAAGGACAAAGCGATCGACAGCCAAGACTGGGAACACGAAGGTCAAAACAATGCAAATACCGCTGAAGTTGTATTTGTTTTCCTTAATATTTATGTTTTTGTCATAACTATTAGGACACTTACTAAAAAGAAACGCTTAAACATTAAAACCACATTACTCTTAAATATTATTGCGATTACCAGATTTGCTGTTATTACAAAGATATCTAAAAGTCATCTTTTAACAAAGATGATAACCCAAGAGACAATAATAATGTTTTATAAGTGCAATAACTTCTTGGGCTTTTGTGTCTGTTTTATGAGTTCAATAGCTCTGTGGGTATTAGTCCATCAGTCTTGCTTAAGAGATGCAATACACAGGGATATTAAGTTTGTTAAAGGTGTTCCACATGGTCACTTTTGGTGCCAGTCTGGTCTTCACCTGTTCTGTCATGCTGTGTAAGCTGTGTGTGTTTCATTATTTACAATCCTTTGTATTTGCATTTTGTGGTTTGACTCCTGTTACATATTAACATCAACCTGCTAAGGAAGAAGCAAACAATAATGAGCCTTATGCTATAATCTGGCATAATTTAATTTCCGGGCCTACAGCAGCTTTTTACTAATAGAAACGGGCCCCGTTGTAAATAAATAAATAAATCTGAACCTGATGAACTGAAAGGTGATTTTGTACTAACGTTTTAAGTGTTCCTGATGTCATTAGCTCAGTGACCAGTACAATGCACTTCTTTCCACGCAGCACAGATTCCCAGGAATCATAAAAGCGGACTATGTTGGGGTGTTGAAGACCCTTCAACATCTCTGCCTCCTCCTTGAAGCGTTGCTGCTCCGCCTTGGTCAGCTTACGGTCCTGCAGTAAAAAGGTACATGCAGACATAAAAGGTCTGAGTAGTCACATGGGCTGCTTATTTACAGGACTGCAGTTCAAAAACACTAAGTAGACCGCTCCATTGATTTTGTTCCATCATAAAAGGTTACTTAAAAACGATCCATTCAGAAATTTAAAACATCACAAGGCTACTTGAAGTTTTCTACTAAGTGTGCAATAAATCCTGATGCCACTAGATGGTGCTAGCAATATAGAAATGCAACCAACCTTAGGCAACACCCAAGCTGTAGCTTTAAAAACACATTTATGCTGCAGCTGCACCACATTGCCCATATGGCACAAAGAACCAGTGCTGCAGAAATCCATTTCACAGTCATGCAACATTCTAGAAAACAGAGATAGCCACTGACACATTTCACGTTAAACACAAGCATAGCGACTATTTAGAGTGAACATATTTTTTTTCTAATAATCATTTTATTGTTACATAATCCACCTGAGCTTGAATCTTTTCTTTACCCCTTTGTTTGTGCTGTTGTTAACAAGGAGCAATACAGAGCCAAAGAAAAAATAAAATCCTTGCAAACAAAAAACGCTTTTTTCAAAACTGTGATATATGATTGTGATGATGCAAGAAAAAAAATATAATTACAATCCAGTGGAAGAAATTTTGGATGTCTCCTTTAAGCTGGTATATATTTTTAAACTCTGTATGGACTAGAATTATTTTCTGCTATGTGAGCAAACAAACTATACAAGTCTGTATAGTCCGTTATTTTATCTGCTGAGTTACTATTTAAGACCACTGATAAAATAGGGTCAGCATGTGATTAATTTATACTTTAAAACAGGTACACGTTGAAAAATAAAAGCAGGAAATCTTTACGACAAAACAATGGGACTAACTTTAAAGTAAGAAACTCTGATGGCAGCTATTGTCCTGTCACATTCAAACAAGCCATAAATAGAAGTCGTCATAACACTGGCTTTCCACTGATCAATTCCAATGATGCCGAGCTGTTAGCTTTAAACAAAACCGATCAGAAAGATAGCACCCTGCAGGTAATTTGGGGGCAAATGTGCAAAAAAACATAAAATAATCATGTAATACAATCTTTGATGGCTGTACCTATCCATATTTTTTTGTTCTCATCATTGCAGCCCCTGCAGCGTTTGTGTTTGGATTTGTTCCTTCCCTCCCTGTGCACTGGTTCAGTGTCCTTTTCTGGAAATCCTACTGGGGAAGACAGTCTCTCATCCCTCCCCTTTTAACACAGAACTACGGTGTGATGGAAAAAATGCTTGGCACGTCGTATAACCATTATGTCCAACATTAAGTCACGCTTCTTCCGCACTAATTATATTGTGGAGCAAACTGAAAAAAGAAATGCACACGTACAATAGCTCACAAATGACATCAAATAGTATTCATAACTTGTTCTCACTTTGTGTCACTGTAGCCACAAACTTGAATGAATTTTATTATTTCCTGTCATAGACCAGCACAAAGTATCGTCTATGTCTCCTTGCATATTATATAGCGAAAACAGTATACACGTGTGCAATTTAATCTCTGTGTAAATACAGCCATTTGTTTGAGGCCATTAATGAACAAACAGCATCATGCGAACCAAGGGACAGCAGACAGGTCCAGGAGAACTTTGTCGTTTAAAGTACAGATAGGTTATAGAACAATATCCCATGCTGAGGCATCTTACAGAGCACTTTTAAATCTACTGTGAAAATGTAGAGTATGACATAACAGTAAATCTAGCAAAACATGCCAAGGAGACTATTAATTAGAAAACATTTAAGCTTTCTAAAACTTAAATGTTTTCTTCTATTTCTAAAGAAATAGAATAGATCCAAAGCAATTTAAAATGAAGGAAGCCATTTATTATAATTTTCTTATTCCGTCCATCTCACAAGCAGAATCAAATTTAATGAGTTTGAACGCTTTTAGAAGACACTGCACATCACTATCTGGTGTTCCCTTAAGACTCACTTCTGCATGTTCCTACCTTTCCCAAAAGGTTTTCTCTTTTTTAATTGGTTTGTACAGCACGTTATCTGTGTAAAACCCTTCTAGCTCAAGTGCAACAAAAAAAAAAGTGTTAGAGAACAAAGCGTTCTTGATTTTGACAGGAAGTTCTGCCTCTGTTGTTGCCTCTGTCCTCTGTCTCACTCCTCATATGGAGCATCGCTCTCCCTCTCTGTGTGGCACAGAGTCACACAAGGTAACCTGGTTGTGCGTCTCCGTCTACAGCCTCCTCAGCGTCTACTGCATCTTGTTGAGTGTCACGTCAGACAGCTTCGGGATCAGCAAAGGTCACAATGAGTTCATTTAGTGTCTTCATGAATCTATTTAGTTGTGTCTAGACAGATTCACACGAGCCAATGCTACACAAACCAATTCACAGATGCACACACACACACTGCTTCAGAAAAACTGAGGTTTTACTTTATGCAAGCCTCTTTATTTATTAAGATGACAAAACAGAGCCGTATCTTTAAAAGAGAGTATGTTTGTTTACACTCATAATGGGTATGAACACATTTTCAGATATTAATGGTAAATTTTAACAGCTCCTTTCTTGATGCACCATACAGTTAATTTGAAAAACATTATTTGGCTTCAAAAGTTTGGATTTATTGAAAATGTTCTCTTGTTCTAAGAGGTTCTAAGAGGATCAAACATGAATGAATACCCCCAACCTAACTTGGAATAAATGCATTTTGCAAGCTGCTGCCATAAGCAGGGTGTTGGTAATTTTTTTTTATCAAAAAAAAAAAAAAAAAAAAAAAGGAAGAGACCATTTAAACTGCTTTTGTTCTTGTTTTTCAGCCTGTTTTTAA